TGTGTTTCACGCAGTTGTATTTTTATACACCTGTGTGTTTCATGCAGTTGCATTTTGATACGCCTATGTGTTTCACGCAGTTGAAGGTTTATACACCTGTGTGTTTATACACAGGAGTATCTGAATACGACTGCGTGAAACACACAGGTGTATAACAAAAAACAACAGCGTGAAACACACAGGCGTATAAAAATGCAACTGCGTGAAACACACNATCTGTATGTTTCACGCAGTGGTATTCAGATACTCCTGTGTATTTCACACTCCTGGGTGTATAAACACACAGGTGTATAAAACTTCAACTGCGTGAAACACACAGGCGTATCAAAATACAACTGCGTGAAACACACAGGCGTATCAAAATACAACTGCGTGAAACACACAGGCGTATCAAAATACAACTGCGTGAAACACACAGGCGTATCAAAATACAACTGCGTGAAACACACAGGCGTATCAAAATACAACTGCGTGAAACACACAGGCGTATCAAAATACAACTGCGTGAAACACACAGGCGTATCAAAATACAACTGCGTGAAACACACAAACTTCACGCATGCGTGGAGTGTATGGAGTGTACGGGAGTGATTCACGCAATGGTGCGAATAGTCACGGCCTACTAATAATTAATCGCAATGAATCTCTGGCAGTCATAATAATCAAGAAAATAATTTCCATTTTCAATTGAGGAAAGTCAGGCACAATGGGTTTTGTTTTGACGTATATTTGCTTGTTTCATTACACACAAAAAGTTCTGATTGCACTGTTCACAATTTTTGGCTGAAATTTCGAGTGCACATTTTGGAAATTTCTATCAAGCAACTGTTATGGCAGCATTGATAATCCCCCATTTGATGAAAAGATCAGTGGAAACTGTCAATTTTAGTTCATTTATTTCATGAAAATTAATAGAATAAAAGGAACAATAAGGTAAATACATGAAATTCATAAAATTTGAATTTTCAAGCCATTGAAAATTCAATTTATGTATTTTTCCCCCAATTGAATTCAATGTCATTCTCCAAAAAATAAGTTGCCTCGACTTTCACAATTTTCAATAATTTTCATTGTCATGCAAAAACAAGCTTTATTATGAGACTTACGATCTAAAATTAAGACCTTCGAAAGTCTCAAATTAAAACCCTCTAGTCTCAAATTAAAATCTTCCAAAGTCTCAACTTGATTATTTGAGGTTTAAATTGAGATCTCAAAGTCTCAAATTGAGACTTCCAAATCTCTCAACATAAGAATCTCAGGCTTGAAATTGAGACCTTTGAAAATCTCATTTTAAGAACCCTGAAATACTGTAATAACGTAGGGGAGAGTGGGGTAAAATGGACACTAGACTTTTGTTTTAATTACTCATAACTCAGAAACAAATTTATCAATTGAGTTTAGTTTAGGCTCATCACAAAGGGAAAGAATTGTTCTTTGCAATGAAAAAAAAAATATGACATTTTATCAACATTTCAACCCGTCATTAACATTAAAAAAAAATCAAGTGTTCATTTTAGCCCAACCTCCCCTATTATTTTTTCTGTGATGAATTCCAGAAATTGAGATTTGTCAGTCAAAACGTATGTAAATTTCCTGCGAATTACCTAAATTTGGTAATTGAAATTAAGAAGTAATTATTGAATGATTCACAAGGATTACCTGATTCTTTTCGAATTCTTCCTTCCACCTGGATTGAATCCAGAAGTCCACGCCCATGTCGCCACTGTACCCCTGGCACGTCAGATCAGTATGTCGACGAATGTATGCACTTTGTTGCGTCACAAGGGGCACCGTATTAACAGCGAAAATGGTTCTCTTGCCACCCTCTGAAAACGGTATCCTGATGGATGGGCTCATGGCCTTGATCAGCATAACTGCGATGTAAGTTTTGCCGGCCCCAGTCGGCAAGTAAAGTATCGCATTCTTGGCAAGAGCCCGTTCGAACAAGTCCACTTGATACGGACGAGGCGTAAATTCCTCGACCTCCGTCGTCTCCATTTTGCCAAACTGCCGAAACAATCGCCAAATGAGCAAAACATAATATCTGGTCTAATGACCCACGATATTAACTCAACGATTTTCCTCACCTGATGCTGAAAATGCCCCGACAAATGCCACTCCTCTCCAACACTCACTAATGCAGTTTGATAATAAATATCCTGACGTGATGTTCAACTGCTGCCTTCCGCTGTTGGTGGAAGACGCCAGTAAACTCAGTTAATCACGCAATAAGACACCATGATCGAAGCCAACCGGGATCGACCAGCTTAGCACGTCTCGACAGGTCCACACACACCGGCCAACTGTGAAAAAGTCACTCCAATGAAGTCCGTAAATCCCAAAACAATGAAAACACCCAGCCACTGCCCTCTCTCGCGTTATTCCAATCCGTGATAACGAATTCTTCGCTCCCGTTGGACACGAAGAAATCCTCGTTACCCATGATTTTTCATTCGTATAATCTTCCCCTTCCGTTAGCATATTATTACTAACATCTTTAACTCTTTCAAAATGCGAAAAGACATGACAAACGACCGTATAAAATCTAAAAATAGTCGCAAGTTGTCAGACAGAGACGAAGTTTGTCATTTGTCGGTTCGTTGAGTTTTACAACAAAATGTCAAAGATCAATGTGGCCCATGATTTCCCGCACCCCTCGTGGGATATACGTGAGAATGAAGGGAATGAAGGAAGTTGGCTAGGGGTGAGACGGGGGTGGTGAGGACGAACGTGCGGGGGATCTGAAGGAAAGAAGTACATTTCGTGATCTGCGTCGAATGCGCGCGATCGCGCGGTTGAGGGGGGTTCCTACCCCCCTTCAGGTTTCACCCATCCAAGTCAGGGCGTCGGTCCTCGGGTTTGCTGGTTACTACACCCCCCAGTCGCCAAAACGGCGGCCGTGCTGTCGTCCCGACGACGCCACCCGCCAACCTCTCCTGGCCGTCAGTAACCGCAATCAGTCCGTTCACGGACGTCGGGACGTTAACACTGCGCGAAAACCAAAATTTAAACTAAAATTCAAAATTAGTTGCCAATTAAAGCTGGCAGCAGTTGTTTCCGCTCTGGGAAAATCTATCCAATTTTTACACATATTTTTTCCCTCTCAAATTCTCTTCTCTATCTCTCTGTCTCCCTATTTTCCCGTGTCACTTGCAACGTTCTTGTGACACATTTCAAATTCACTGGCTCAATTACTAATTTAATTGAAATCGATCGCGGCGGACGTGAGGATAATTCAGTAAATTTGTTTTGTTGACTGTTGTTCCTCCGTGTATTTACGTGTGGTTTATCCTATTCTTTTATTATCCGGAGAAGCCTCAAACCTCCGGATGGCCACTCTCATGGGCATTTATAACATATGTAACTTATCGATAAAACTCTTCCTGTAAAATCAACGAAAATGTAACGATAATTTCGCCATTCGAAAAGAGTTAGTGCATGTCAACGAAACGTCATTAATTCCCCCCAGTTTAATTAGTTCTGTGGCTAGTTGATAATGAAAACACGAAGGGGAAGTGGATTGAAAAATTGAAAATACCAATAACATATTACTGTGTCTGTGAATGTGTTACTGATGTGTTTGAATGGATATTTCGGGTGATTGTCGGGGTGGGAATCGATACCGCGGTGTAACATTGGTATATATATGTGCTGTTGCGACTTTCGTGTCAAGTACTTTTTCTTTTTTCCCTTTTATTTCCATTATTTCTGCTATTCGTGCAACCGTGCATCCAAGATACTTTTTGATATCCCACAAAGTATTCCGTATTACGCCTGACACTATCGATGAACCACCAACAATCGTCATTCCACACGAATACCCAGTGACACACGTTATTTTTTTTTTGGATCAGAGGACAACTTAACAATGTCAAGTGGAGAGAAGCCCCCCCAAGGATTAACAATAGATCGTGCAGCATTTCTCCTTCTACGAGTGAAAAGAGCGTTTAAGAAGAAAAAGCAACAGCGAAAGGAGAGAAGGTAAAGTTATGATTATAATGAAAGTCACTTTACGCAAGTTTCCTTATAATCATAAAAAATAGTTAGTTAAAAGTTTTCACCAAGAAATGTATTTATCAGCCTCCCTGTTATCAGTGTTAGGGGCGTTGAGGCGCGACCCGACATCTCTATATTATGCGCCTTCCCCCAAATTCAATGAATATTCATGCCGTGTAAACAACCAGATCCAAGTGTGCATATTCGTCATAAGCAAACACAAGTGCAAAAATATGTTGATTAATTTGATTTCCCCCGTCTCTCTCTCTCTCTCTCTCTCTCTCTCTCTCTCTCTCTCTCTCTCTCTCTCTCTC